GGGACAACCCTTAGCAAGGGTTTGGAGAAGTCCTGTAGCGCCTTGGGGACAATGGATGCCCCGGCTCCGAAAAACTTCCCTCTTGAGCAAAAGCTATGCTGAAAAAGCATCTCAACTCCCCCACACCCCATGCGTGCAGGTCTTTACAGCCAAGCATCGAGGTTCTTCAAACGCGCCTCCAGTTGTTGAATCCGCGCCTGGCAGGCCAGATCTTACACAGGTGCTTTGCTGCCTATGATTTGCCGTGGCTGATGTTGCTGGTTGCCCAATCTCATGGGCGTAGCAGAACAATTTAAAGGCTGCTCAACCAATCAGAGAGACTAAGTGGTGGATTGGATCAGCCCGGGTTTGGTTGCCTATGGTTTTTGCATACAACTTCAAAAAAACACAATCTAATATCAAAAATACATATAATCACAGAAAATCAACACAAAAAGACATATATATATATATTTTTTTGAAAAGATTTTAACATGTTCTTTCTCGTTTTAAACTGTCTGATATTTTCAGCATTCCCTTGGTACGCTAGACCTCGCAGCCAGTGTTTTTTCCTGTGAGCTCACCACACGATTGATCACGTGTGACAATAACAACCTCAAATCGTCAAACATCTTTGAGACCCCAAAAGCCTGCAGAGTACTCTTCAATGTCATGCCAGGGCGACGTTCACCGCGGGACTAGGTTGCATTGCTTGCACGTATTTTACATGGTTTTTTCACTATGTTATTTTTGTCTGCATGCTTATGCACTTTCTATTTTTTGAGATGGTTTGAGATTTTTAGAGATATTTTGAGATGTTCAGTCTGGCAAACTATTTTGTAATTCCGAACCTCTTCCAAGTTTACCCGGTTGTTGTGAGATGCCTGCGATATGTTAAAAAGGTTTTAAGATTTTGCAGATTAAACAAGTATTACAAATGTTAAAAGGTCTCTGAAGTTTTTAAAAGATGTCTGATGATTCCAAAAAGATGCTTTAAAATGTTTGATGTTTATAAAAGATCTTCAAAGATCTTCTCTTAGCTTCAACTATACTATATTATGTTATGTTACTTATGTCAATTGTTCCTTTGAAACCCATGACTGATCTAGACCACTTCCCATTCATATATCTATTCATCCCTCGAGGACCATCATCGGATGTCGAGACGCTACAAAACGGGGTAGCCTGTAGCCTGCATCCGTCTGCCCTTTGAGCCAACTGTCCTAAAAGCAACGGCTTTCTTCTGAGCTACCACACGTCCTTCTCCTTGTTCAGCTGACGCTCCTTTTCCAACAATGCCTGACCACAAATGGATGCTCATAGGGGGGGGTTTATTCACACACCCATGCGAGCCTAGCCACTAGCCTAGCCTTGGGTTGCACAAGAGTAGGCTCTGACAAGTGCGCCTGTCCTTCTTAGGTTTGGGCCATTTGCACAAATAAAACACAGACCGCCATGAGGCTCACCCTGGCAGTTTTGGATGGTTTTGGCACCAATCGCCTGAGGGCCTAGTCTAATAGAACACCTTCGCTGAGTGCCAATGTTGCTCGCAAGCACTGGTCCCTTGCCACTGCTCCGCCTTCAGGCATCCCTCATCCCCAGAGTCAGCACAGGTGGATGCCTCCTTGGCGGGCTTCGGTCACAAGAATCCTCTTCCTCCCACTAACATGATCTAACATGGACCTAGGCTCTTAGACACTCCTGCAAAATAACATGCTCCCTCGTGGTACATGTACCACTCGACGGGTTCCCTCGAGGGTTCAAGTAGGGAGCGTCTTGGCAAAAAGGTACACAAATGCCTTTAACACCGTTCAAGAAACCTCGCAGCTTGAAAATACAACCAAAACTAGAGGTTCACGGCAAAAGTGAAACGGAATGACTCACAACGCTCTTCTATAATTCCTGCTGTACCTCTGAGAAGGTGCTGTTATACTGCTGGCTAAAGACAAAACCTCCTACAGTGACTTGTCTGTGCAGGCGTTAGCGGCGGTATCTGTCAGTTTATTTCAGTGATAATTTTCGAGCGAGGCTCGGATTGCATTGCCCCAATCCGGTGCGCCAGAAGGTCGAAAGCGATTTGAGCCGAGAAGCTCTGCAAGTGTGGACGCTTGACCTTACTATCAGCCATCAAAGGGCCAAAGATCAGTATGTGCAGTTGTTGTGACTCTGCCAAAGATGTATGAAACTTATGTATAATATACAGATCCCCAGTACATACAATTATTACCTTAAGGCCACCAGTTTCATGGTGGACATGGGAACGGGGATATATATATATATAGTACTGTAAGTCTTATGCAAGTTGTTGCCGTGTGCCCAGTATTGCCCAGTCATTTTCCAGGACAGGAGGACTTTGTCGCTTCTCGCACGCTCTCTGGACGAGAAGCTCGAATTTCCAGCCAGCCCGGTTCCTCTACTGGGCCCATTGCACTCAGAGTCCAACCGCCTTGTAATGATGTAAAAATGTCCTGGAATCTGGGCTGACTCGGCGCAGTAACATGCCGCTCTTTGACAGATGCCCGCACACAACGCTCCCCCGCACAAGCCCATATAGAACAGGACAAAGCAAGAGGGGCACTGTCGGCTGCGGCCCAATTTCTGTGAATTGAACCTCTGCGGGAGAGATGAGTCAAATGGACATCCTCCGGTATTCCGGCTCGTCGAGCGGGGCCAACACTTGATACAGGCAGGGGCAACCCTTCGCCATAACCACACTGCTCCACGGTCTATAGTATCATGGTCTTCCAGATTGGAGAGCTGCGCTGGGAGCTGCTCTGACGGTTCATTCTGCTTCCATGTGTGGCCCGTCGGTCCACCTGGTGCTGGAGGTTGCACCATCACAGACGGCAGAAGAAGACAATTGAATGGATCTCCTTTCGGAAGAGGACCAAAACAGCAAACACATCTAAACACAAGCCCCAAGCTTCTAAAGCCCCTACATCGTGACTGTTCACTGTTGACATCAGTTGACAAACCACGTCTACATCGCCGACTCTACGCAGGTCAAGCAGATGGATGGGACGAAGGCCCCTGCGCCTGTGCCCTTGGCGGATCAGCAGTGACATGCAGTGACTTAGCTGCACGTGCACGGCAAGACCGAATTTTGCCCCCGACCTCTTGCACATCACCATCCTCTTGCAGGAATGTCTTAAAGCATCGGAGATTGAAAGGCTGGGCCCATTCTATGACTGAAAAGCATTACCAGCTGGTCACGGTCGGCTGTTCTTCGCCATCGGGCCAGATCGCTGTGCCCACTGATTCGGGGCCCTAGTCGTGTGGAGGTGGCTCAGGTCGCCTGCTGAAAACATGAGACCAGGAAGCTGGGAAGGCTCTTCTCTCTCCAGAGCTCTTCATGGCAAACGTGTGCGACTGCTACTGGGGCATGAGAGGTTTATGGAAACGTTGGCTCATGTGACTTCCATCATATTGTGGGCGTAGGTTGAGAATTGATGGGACAAACTGAACCTGTCAAACCCACCAACTCCAAGGAGCATCATTGAAACGAACTAGTGACACTAGTGACTAGTGTGGGCCTTGAGCCATCTGTTCTGAAGCCATTGGAATCACTGCGTTCACACGTTCACACATCAATCCAACAAGCCTTCGAGGTCCCCGTTGCAGGGGTGCCCAGCTTCCCCATGCAGGGTCTTGAGCAACACTCAGATCACCACGACTATGGAAGATGCGACCCCTCAAAACGGTGAGCAGTCCAGACTCAGTGACTCAAGTGGCTACAAGTGGCTCGTGTCAGCGAGGGTGGTTCTGTGCAACATCTGTAGAACATCTGAGTCTGGGATGTTTGCGTTCGCCAACTCCCACTTGAGGGAGCGCTTCTTGACTCGAAAAACCACGAGGATCGCAGTCTACAGCCTTTTGGATAGGTGCAACTGAAGGGACCGCTCTGTGAAAGTGCCCCCTGCTGCAACACTCTGGTCTTCTCGTAGCGTAATTACCCATCCTAGGCAACAAATCCAATCTAGGCTGCAACAAAGGTGTTGTGGGAAAACTAACGGTAGTTAATGCAAGCGGAGCTAATGCCACTCAGGTCAGCTGGCATGTAGAGCAAGACTGGCTAAAAACGGACTCAAGGACAAAAATAGCAGAGTGTCAAAATAGCAGAGTGTCATCAGAGTGTCCAATTTTCATGGCAGGTCACCTGGTTCCCGGTTGTATCAACCTCCGCATGGGCAAGCACAGTTTACGCACATAAGCTGGAATAAGCTAGGCAATTTGATCTTCAAACCTGCTGAATGCAGCACTGCTGCATGGTTGACTTTGGTTGCAGGCAGCTAGGCCAGCCAGGCTTTCACAGCGCGCCACACTCGTAATTAAGTGCAAAGAATCCTGAAAAAGGGTCGGCAAGTGCCTCGAAGATTGCGCGCCTCCCCAGAACGGGCGGCGGAAGCGAATGGTTGCCTTCCGAATTCGAAGAAGTCGGGGCCACCGAAACTCCACGGTCGACCGCGGCTCCAAGCGGGATGCGACGGGACATTCATGGACATTCCTTGACCTCAACCTTTGTCTAAAGCTTACTACTGTGCAACAGCGGTGACTTGTGGTAAACATTGATATGTGGTAAATCCATAACGGCTTCGGGTGGTTTGGGGTGGTCTGGGTTTTGTGGCAATCTGCCCTTGACCTCCATTTGCTTCAGTGATCAATGGTGCGTCATGGTAACCACGTAGTGTGTTCTCCATGTTTTGTCTGATCCGATGGTAGCCAGATGGTAGGCTGTGGGTGGCTGTGGTAATTCCATCGACTCCGAGCCATCTGCTCTTAAGCTGTGAAGGCCTATCTTCTTCTGCACAGATTTCCGGTGGTTTTGCTGATCTTTTACTTTGACGAGTGGATCCTATTACAAAAGATCATTGATGATCTATTGAATGATCCACACTGGGTAACCACGTGACTTGCAACAATCCTAAATCTCTGGCGCTCAAACCCTTTTCTGCTCCATCCCATCGCAACCCCGGAGCTCAGAGAGCTCGGACTGGGACGTGATCCATTTTGGACTTCCCAACTCAACGCAGGCGAGTAAGCGAGCCCTGTGGGCTCTGCACGCTCTGTACTACAGTGGCCTCAGGCACCACAAGTCAAAAACAGAAAGCTTCCCCTTCCCAAGTGCCCTGATGAGACCCCGGCAACTCATGGAAAGTCATGAAACCTTGTGGCCTGACCTACGCGATCCGGGATGAACTTCAGTGAACGGATGACTTGTATGTTCTGATTGGTTCCACTGGTCAGGGGGGGGACGGTGCCTCCCGACAGGCGACCAAGTGCAAGAGAGGCGCCTTGGGTGGAGACCAAACAGGGCTCTGCATGCCAACACCTGCCAAGCGGCTCGCACCCACATCCTCCCACTTTACAAGAGCACTTGGTCAAGGCAACACGAAAGCTCCGTGGGTCTAGCAGGCATTCTGGTGACAATCCGCCTCTCCAACCTGATCAAGCAGCCTGGGCACCATGTCAGTGTCATGGCCCAAAGGTAAAACGCAATAGAACAGCTTCTTGTTCCTAGTAGCAATGGCCTCCAACCTACTAGCTCTTGTTACTTAGTCAATAGAGTATTTATATTTAAAAAATAAAGAAGTCAATACAGGTCAATTGATGTCATGTTCGGATGTATGGTTCCTCAACCGTGCACCCTCTCCTCCCTACAACGATGTGTGATGAGCAAAGCCCTCGCGCTCAAAGACATGCCGTGGCAGACAATGAGACGGCACCAGCACGGATTGAAGGATGGGTGTCGACGGGGTGTGGGCGAAATTTGACCTTGGACATGAGCCGGCCCGGCCACACCTTTCTTCGTCGAAGCCGGTGCAAACTTGAAGCTTATGAGTAACTTATGAGTTCACTCGCTGGTATCTCCGAATCCAGGGCATGTGGGTGCCGCATGGCAATCTCATATAATCGCATGCAATTCCTCTCCCCCTCACTCACTCACCCACTGACTCACTCCGTCACTCCCTCACTCCCTCCCTCCCTCCCTCTCTCTCTCTCTCTCTCTCTCTGTCGCTGGAATCTCTTGACATGAACTATCCCTCGCCGGCGACGCGAACTTGCAGTGGCAGCGTGTGACTTGTCTGCTCAGGAGCCGGATGCGTGCAGACAAAGGTGTCGTGGCGCCAGAGCTGGGACCTGATGTTCGAAAACCGACCCGTTCGTTCATTCACCCGGATGGGGAGACTGACACGGAAACATCCAAACCTGGAGACTCCTGAGGCTGAGGTGTGACCACTTTTCGATTGAGTTTGTGGATGGTTTGGTGCTTTCAGGATGATTGTGGATGTATGTCGGCTCCTTCCACCTCCCCTCGGCTCCCCACTCTGCACATTGTATGTCGCAGGCCTGCGGAAGACGTGTTGCGGCTGGAGGGCGAGCTAATGACAAACCCTTCCACAAAATATCCGCAAATGTGAGGACATTTCTTCAAAGCAGCCACCCGCGAAATCTATGAAAAGGAATATGGACGCTCCAAATGTATAACGTATAACAGCAATTTTCGATAATATATAACTATATGCACCTTCCATGTCCGGTCTATGCCGGTTTCGGGGTGTGTTTGAACCAAAGACTACCCTCTTTGCAAAACAGCTGCATTTGACATATAAGTTCATCAATTGTATCTCACGGCTATCCATGATCAAACTGCCAAGCCCGGGCCAACAGCAAAGTGAAAGTCAGACGCAGGAGCCAACTAGGGAGGGATGCGGGGTAGCAAGGTTCACGGCGGCAACAGCTGCAAACCAACAGGAGCAGCAGAAGCAGTAGTCCAGCAGAGACAAAACCCACTCAAGGTCACATCAGCTGAGCACATTCAAGACCTTTGGGGGGGGCCTCGGTTCGAAGAATGGCTCATGTCACCTGCCACTTCAAACGTCCATGCAGAAATACGGTTGGGAAAAATTGTGTCTGCTTTGTGTTTAGCACAATTTCGAGAAAACTGTCAGACGCCTGCACTGCAACTCCGCGGGCCCCCCCTTGGAAGTGAAGCAATCTAATCTTAGAGGTGCCAAAGAACACCTCCCGGTCACCTCCCCATCAAATGCATTGCAGCAATGTTTTCCCCCTTGTCCCAGTCGCTTCCACGCCTGATGATGCTTGGCACTGACACGCGTGGAGTTCGATAACCGGTCGATTCCTGGAGCGGGCCCGGGAAAGGGCATATAGGCGGTGATGGGGCTGCCAACTGAGGACGTTGCGACACGAGTCCCAAAGACTACGTACGAGTCCAAAGGGCCAAAAAACAAGATCGTTCAAGGAGCATTCGCTGGCCAACTGGCACCCACCGGGTGGGATGTTGTGGGGCCTGCAGGAGCTGCCAAAACCCAGTGTGGAAGGGCACAGGTCCCACTTGTGCATGCATAGATCACCTCACTTGTGCGTATGCAAGGTCGACAGTCGAACACGCCTATTTATTATACAATTATGAAAGGGATACGTCCAAAACCTCGCGCACGCAAGAGTTAACTCACTTGCGCATGCAGCGGCTCAGTGGCGCGCAAAGGTCTGCAATCTTGGAATGGCACCTTCCTCCTCAAAATTCTGCCCTCGGGCGGCGCACAAAAGTTCTGCCACCTTCAAATGGCACCTTCCACCAACTTGCACGTGTACAAGCGAGGCATTCTCCGCGTGCACAAGCGAGTGCTATGCCGGAAGGGCACAGGTCTCACTTGTTCGCATGCAAGGTCGACAATCGAACACGCCTATTCAGCCTATTCAGGGGCCATGTCCAAAACCGTGTGGAATGGATCCAGCTGCGCTGGTCAAGTCCCCAAATCCGTTCCCGGAAACCCGCCGGGCCTTGGATCCAAACCTGGCGGAAACAAAGAGGATTCTTACGTTCCTAGCTTCCTGTTACTAGTAGTAAGGCCAGGAGCTACCAGTAGCTTCTTGCTCCTAGTAGCGATGCCCTTGTTATCCCTTGTTACTATATAGTAGCTTCTTGTTACTGTTGATGCATGGCCCCTGTGCAAGGATGACACGCTTTTGTTTGAAGTGCTGTGAACGCCGCAGCCCTTTTCCATGAGGTTTGAAGACCTCACCAAGACCTTAAGTGGTCCGGAGACGACCCGGGGTCACAGCGGAAAAGAACTGTTTTTGAGCAGCGAAGTCTGTTTCGGTTGCAGCTTGTTGCATTTGAGGGAACACGACCATGTCCCAACACCAACAGGTTATGAGCCCAACGTCAGAACTTTCTTTACCTCACCCCTCCATGCTCCGCCGGCGACGAACCATGGAGCATGATGATGATGGCCGCCTGGCCTTGATGCCGCCTGCGGAAGAGCCTCGAAGCGACGAGCTGGTGGCCAGGGCTGAAGCTTTGGAAGGTGATGGAAAGAAAGAAGAAGATGAAAAGAAGGAGTTTAGTACCCCGGCTCGTTCGACGACAGGGCTCGGGAATACTGGAACAGGGAAGACTGAAATGGAGGTGTTTAAGAGTGGTGGGTCAAAAGAAAGTGTGGTTGAAGCTCCAAAAGGAAAGCCTGCCACTCTGGCTCCCTTGGCACCACCAGCACCGCAAGTCATGCAGCCCCTGTTCACTCAGGAACAGATCAGAGAAGCTAAGGCATCCGCTCGACTTGCTCCCCAGCTCTTTGGCCCAGGTCTGACGCCGTCCTCTTCAGGTGATGATCGGCCTACTCAGGTGTCTCGTCCTGCCTTCCTGGAAGAAGAAGAAGAAGAAAAGAGGGAAGGAACGAGAGGAGGTAAGAAAGAAGGGTATAGAAGGGTGGTGGAGATGGAGGAAGAAGAAAGTGAGGAGCTAAGAAGATGTGAAGAGAGCTCCAATGATCCTCGAAGGACCCGTCGCGATCGAGAACGGGAAGACCAAGAGGAGGAAATCATGTGGCGCTGGCAGATCTCTCAGGATGTGCAACGGCTCACTGACCTTTGCCAGGCCCAACAACGTGAAAATGATCGCCTCCAGCAAGAGCTCTATGAATGGAGGATTGAGGGTGAAGACAGAAGGAGGTTGGAGGTTGAGGAAAAGAAGAAGAAAGAAATGGAGGAAAGGGAAAGACCAAGAAGTGCCTCCAACTTCAACACTCCTGATGAAGAGGGACCGAATGGGATTCCCGGGACTGATGACCTACATGCCCGAGGACGCACACCGTGGTCTACCTAGCCGGCTCGCTATGGGGTCAAGGGTTCCAGGTCCCGCTCCAAAGAACAACAGAGGAAGGGTCGAAGTCCATCCTATGGAAAAGGGGATATGAAGGGGCCTAGACCTGCAACCGGGGGAGCCAAACTATCCCCCGAAGTTCAACAGATGGAAGTGATGACACTTTTGGTGGAAAGTATGAAGTCTCTCCAACGACAGATTTCGGAGGGACAAGAAGCTCAAGGAACGGTGAAAGGGGTGGAGATTGTCCGTCAGGTTGCTGAACTACCTGTTCTTCATCCACTACATGGTTCTACCTCGCAGTTGCAGCTGGGTGATTGGCTGCTTCTTGTTCAGCCGGTGGTGGCTGACCTGACGACCACCTCTGACATTTGGTGGGATCGAATGATGACTGAGGTTGAGAAGTGGTACCAAGACCACCAAGCAATGGCTCCTTTGGATCGGGTCAAACATGAGCCTGTGCCTCCATCATCACTCAGTGTTCCGAAGTGGGCAAAGCTGGAACGGCGAATGGCCACCCTGTTGCTGAAGGCAATTCCAGAGGTTCAGAAAGATGAACTGGTGGCTACAAAAAGGTTGTCAGTCTTCGCCATCCTCGCCCATCTTCACGTCACCTACTGTCCTGGTGGCATTAGCGAGAAACAGATGCTCCTGCGGAACCTCGAAGATCCAACGGAACCAGGAAATCTGCACGACACGGTAGTTGGCCTCCGTCGATGGCTTCGTTGGCGTGCAAGGGCTCAGGAGATTGGAGCCACCGAACCCGACCCTTCCATCCTGGTCAAGGGTCTGAATCGCTTGACGAAGCGAGTTTTGGATGGCAATGAAAGCCTACGGTTCCGGGTGTCTCTCGCTCGGAATGCCCTTCAGGTTGACACCAATCCCAATGCGCTCTCGGTCAGCCAGTTCGCAACCCATCTCACAGCGGAGATCGAACAGCTTTCCTTGGCTGAGAAGCGAAGTGGTGCAACTACGACGAAGGAAGAAAATAAAGTGAAGAAGATTGAGGAGGTCAATAAAAGGGCCAAAGGAAGTGAAGGCAAGCTGAAAGAGATGGAAGTCAAGCCGCCGTGCAAGTTCTTCCCCAGCGAGGCCGGATGTCGTCGTGGCCGTGATTGCAAATGGTCGCATGACCAAAAGGATGAACAAAAAAGGTGTTATCTATGTGGCTCCACGAAGCACCTTGCCCCCACCTGCCCTACGAAGGAGAACTCAGGTGGAGCTGCTCCCAACTCGCCACCGAAAGTCAAGAAGGAAAAAGAAGAAGAGAAGGATTCAAAAGGCGAGGAAGGAGGAAAAGGAAGTGGAGGTCAAGATGATGAAAAGATGGATGAATTTCTCGCTGAGGCCAACAAGATGCTCAAGGCGATGAAGGACAAAGAAGCTTCAGAAGCCAAGCTGAGCCGATTGCATCAGCAGCTTGATGAGATCAAGAAAAGTATCAAAACCCTGAAGTTGACCCGGGTTCGCGAAGCGAAGATGGGGTCTTTACAAGAAGAAGAATGGGGACTCTTGGACTCTGGTGCTACGCATCCCCTGAGACCTCTTGCATCTACGGACAGCCTCGAGAAGTTCAACAAGGTCTCTGTGTCCCTGGCTGATGGCCGCACCACACCTCTTTTGATGACTGAGTCGGGGGTGATGGTTTCAACAAACCTACAAGTGGAACCAATAGTGTAGCTTGGGATGCTGGCTGGTGGAGGATGTAAGATCTCATGGAAAAGGCATGGCATGAAAGTCTCCCATCCTACAAAGGGATCTTTGCCTATCAGCATATCCCCAAACAGCTTGCCCTCGAGCTCATCCAGGAGTATGAAGATCGTGCGCAGGAAGTCAAGCAAGCTCGCCTGGTGGGGGAAATGCACCCTGAAAGGGAGGTGGAATGGATGAAGTCTTTGGTTGAAGGCCATCCAGCTTTGGCAGAACTTCCGGACCATGTCAAGAATGCCTTGGTCCAACAACCGGGGGAGTGGAAGGACCTTCCTGCCAACCGACATCAACGAAAGCGGCTGAAGGCGGCTGGCTCGGTGATCCTGCATTTATATGCCGGAAAACGTGAAGGATTCACTCTGCAAAAGGCTATGGAAGAGCATGGCTTGGGAAGCCGCACCTTGGAGGTGGATCTACAGAGGGGTGATGATCATGATATGGCATCCCTGGATTCGAAGGCCTACAAGGGCCTGCTTCATTTGGCGCTGGATGGGGATTTGGCGGCGGTGATTGAAAAACCCAACTGTCGTACCCGATCTGTTCTGCGACATTATCCTGGCGGTCCACGACCTGTGAGATCCTGGGAAGAGCCCTGGGGCATCAGTTCCTACAGCCCTGAAGAAGTGGCCATGTGTCAAGAGGACGATGTCCTTATGTGGCGCCAGATCTTTCTCTTCTTGGTCGCGGACATGGCTGCTAAGTTGAAGGATTCAACAAATGAGGAGGAAGAAAAGAAGAGCAAGGAAGAAGTGATGTTCCTACTAGAGCAGCCTTCCGACCCCAAGGACTACATGCCCTCGTGTGTATCCCTTTGGAGTATGGAGCCATCGAAGAAGCTTCAAAGTGCTGCTCATCTTCAAGTCCACAACCTGAACCAGGGAGACTATGAACCCTGGAAGGAGGATGCTCCGGTGAAGCCTACAACTCTGGCCGCCAATGTTGAGCTCCGCTTACCAAAAGGAAAAAACCCTGGATCAAAGAGCAGAGGAGAAGGTCAGAAGGTCCCATCATCCTCACTTGCTCGCTGGGTTCCGGGACTATGTCGATCTGTCGCTGAAGCTTGTGCCCTTCACATCAATGGAAATGTGGAGGAGGAACCAAGGCTAAAAAGGATGACATGGGAGCAGCACTGTCAAAACGGTCACGTGCCCTTCCGAAGAGACTGTCGAATCTGCCAGGAGCAAAGCGCTAAGTCCCGGCCGCATCGAAAGGTCACACATCCACTGGCAGCGACACTGTCACTGGACACTGCTGGTCCATATCCTGTCGCCAAAGATGGTAAGGACTTGATGAAGTACATCCTCGTTGGCACCTACACCTGGCTTCTTCCTCAGGAACAGCATCCACCAGTACCTGATGATGAACTGGCTGACTCTGATGAAGTGCTACTTGAAGAAGAAGATGAGGAGGAAGGAAATGAAAAGTGTGATGAAGAAGAAGGCGAACAAGGTGAGGAGATGAAGGAAGCCGAAGTGGGTGAAGAAAAGGAGAACCCCGACCTGATCACCTTCAGACTCGCCATTCCGATGGCCTCCAAGGATCAGAAGACGGTGCTGTCCACGGTCCAGCAAATGTACATCCAGCTCAGGGTGATGGGCTACCACGTGACGAGGCTTCACACTGATCTCGGGGGAGAATTCAGAGGAAGATCCCTCACCCAGTGGTGTCGCTCAAGGGACATCCATCGCACTACAACGGCGGGAGTCTCTTCTCGAAAGAGCGATCCAAACAGTGAAGTCCCACATCCGTCGGGCTCTTGGCATGGCTGGTATGCCGGCAAGTCGATGGCCTCAAGCATGCCACTATGTCCACGAGCGGGAGCGAAGACGCATGGCCGATCTTGATTTGGGTGACGTCCCGCCATTTGGTCATGAGCTCCTGGTCAAAAGAAGATTTTGGAAGACAAAAGAATTGGAAGCGACTCATGAGAAGGTTCGCTACCTTGCTCCAAGACCCGATGCTCATGGTCACCTGGTGTTGAGAGACAATGGCTCCACGGCGATCGTCCCGTACTTCATCATGAAGACCCAGGAACCTGAGCCGAGCCAATCAACTTGGATGGCTGTCACAAAGGCCGCTGAGGAGGCTGAGGGTCCCTATGAAATCAGAAGAAGGATACGGGGAAAAATGGGAGCTAAAAGTATGAAGTTGGAAGAAGATGAATATGAAGTGGTTGAGGAGGAAAGAGAACGACACCTGGAAAGAATCTCCAATATCGTCCTGGAGGAAAGTGTTATCATGCTCAAGGATGAAATGAAGGTCATGGACGTCGTCTATGAGGAGCTGAAGAAAGTTAAGAGCGCTATCCTTGGGAGGAACCAGTTCTTCGAACCAGGGTGGTCTCCCCAAAAGAACTGCTTCGAGAAGCTCCAAAATGGGATGAAGCCATCCGGAAAGAGCTCCACCAACTGTTTGAAGAGAAGAAGGCTCTTCGCCGGATCGATGAAGTCCCTTCAAGAAAAGTGGGGCAGAAAGTTGGAGGTGCTGCCCTCGAAGGTAGTGATCACCTTGAAGCCTGGCCCAAGAAGAAAGATCAGACTGGTAGCTTGCGGCAACTTCGTTGACCCAGCCTCAGCGGAACAGAAGGATCAATGCCTATATGCCTCAGGGGCGGACGCCGTTTGCCTTCGCTACGTCCTGAAGCGATCAGCTGAAGAGAGCTGGAAGGCATCTGTGCTGGACATCCGAACAGCGTTCCTCAATGCTCCGCTGGACATCGAAGCTGAAGGTCAAGAGCCAACCATGGTGGTATTGAAGCCGCCATCCCTTCTTCTGAAGACGGGCCATGTGGGGCCTAAGGACTACTACCTGGCTCAAAAGGCTATGTACGGTCTTCGCCAGTCTCCGCGTTGTTGGGGTGTCTACCGTGATCAGGTACTGAGGAAGTTGACCTCACCCCAAGGACATCGCTTTATCCAGGCCGAAGCCGAGCCTAATCTATGGAGCATCATGCTCGGTGATGGTGAAGATGAAGAACGTGAAGAAAAGATGGTTGGATTCCTATTGGTCTACGTTGATGACCTAATGGTTACAAGTGATGAGAAGACCATCAACCAGGTGATCCAAGTTCTACAAGCCCAATGGGAGACCTCTACGCCTGAAGAAGTGGGAAAAGAAAAGGTCAAGTTTTTGGGGATGGAGATCACCAAAACCATCGAAGGAGGATATCGGGCTTCACAGGAAGACTATATCAAGGACAAGGAAGGGATCCCAGAGGCAAAGAATGTGAAGGTCCCAATGTCCAAAGAAGCTGCCCCGATGCCTGAAGAACCTACACCAGAGCTGGTCAATGCAGCCCAGAAGCTCGTTGGTGAATTGATGTGGTTGTCGACGCGTACAAGACCTGATGTCGCGTTCGCTACAAGTCGATGTGCCCAAGAAATTCTGCCACATCCGTCCTGGGTGATTGAACAGGCCACCCAAGTTTGGAAGTACTTGAAGTCAACTCCCAATGAAGGACTTGAATTTCAACCTGGAAGGGGAGAAGGATGGGATGGGGGGCCAAAGTCGTTGGAGGTCTACACGGACTCAAGCTCTGCGGCCTCGCCAGAAACCCAGGCATCCCACGGCGCTGTGATGGTTTTGTGGAATGGAGCGCTGATGTTTTGGAAGAGTGGGCGCCAACCATTTCCGGCTTTGTCCACTGCCGAGTCGGAGCTGCTGGAAGCCATCGAAGGTCTCCAAACTGGTGATGCAGTTGATAGCATGATCCAAGAGCATGAGGAACCCTACGCGAAGACCCTCTTTGTCGACAACCTTGCGGCCACTGGGTTCTTCTCCGATGGCCATGCCAACTGGCGCACCAGACATTTGAGGCTCAGGGCACAACATGTTCGTTGGAGAATCACCAACCTCGACTGGCGAGTGAGACACATGCCCGGCACCATCATGATTGCCGACCTTGGCACGAAGCCCCTTTCGAGTCAGCGCACCTTGGAGCTGAAAGAATTGATGTCCATGGTTCTCCAAAAGAATGTGGATGAAGAAAAGGAGGATGGCCCAGAGGCGGTAAGTGAAGAAAGGAAGGAAAAGGAGGATGGCTCAGAGGCGGTAAGTGAAGAAAAGGAAGAAAAGGAGGATGGCCCAGAGGCGGTAAGCAAAGAAAGAAGAAAGGAGGGTGAAGGAAGGCAAAAGAAGATGAACTATAGCGGGCGACAGTTGCAGCTGGCGGTACTCATGGCGCTCATCGCCAAGTCAAAGGCCCAAGGAAATCAGAGTGAGGAAGATGAGAATCCCTCTGACCAAGCCGGTTCCGAGCCGCTTCAAATGTTCATGATGCTGTACACCATCCTTGTCATCTTGGCCACCCTGCTTTTCAGACGCCTCTGTGCTTGGTTTCTGGCACCAGCTATCAATGATGGTGACGCTGCTGCTGGTCAACAATATGAGCCGCCGGCACTTGGGCCACCTGGCAGTTCTACGTCGGAATCCCAGGGAAGTTCCATCACGGTCGACTGGCAAGGCCGAGAAGTCAATAGGCCAAGTGCCCGGTCAAAGGGAAAGAAAAAAAGGAAAAGGGCAAGGGAAAGGAGGTCCTCAAGATGGTGAACCTGTTGATTGGGCGTATGGTCCAGCTCGCCCCATGACAGCTGAAGAGAGAAGCCAATTCGGGCTGCAAAACCGCGAGTGGTTGCTGCGATGGCTTTCCTCCCTCACCCCGGAAGAAAGGGCACAGGCTGGTATTCCTCCAGGGGGAGTGTTGATGCATGGCCCCTGTGCAAGGATGACACGCTTTTGTTTGAAGTGCTGTGAACGCCGCAGCCCTTTTCCATGAGGTTTGAAGACCTCACCAAGACCTTAAGTGGTCCGGAGACGACCCGGGGTCACAGCGGAAAAGAACTGTTTTTGAGCAGCGAAGTCTTTTTCGGTTGCAGCTTGTTGCATTTGAGGGAACACGACCATGTCCCAACACCAACAGTTACTAGTAGCAATGGAAATCCCATGGAATCCATGTGGACCGTTGATTCCTAGAATCCCCACAGAACAGATGTGAAATGACTCTGATAGGTAGGGAGGCTTGATCGATTAAGAGTCAACCTTTCCATCCAGATCTGAGTACAAAGCCAATAATAGCTGATTGAAGACCCTTTGGATTCCTCTGAGCAGCTTGCGTGAGCCTGGTGTGACAAAGGCTGTATGTAGAACATTTTTGCACGAAACGTCATAGAAATCCACACATGCAGCGGTCAAGCTGGAAACCCAAAACGGGCACAAAAACTGACCCAAAATGCATCAACAGCTAGAAACAGGTCGGGGATATGTGCAGGCCCTGGAAAATAGTCATAGAGAGTCTAACAATTAGAGTAATAGAGTCTAATACCCGCTGCCAAACCACTCACTGAACCTCACAAAGACAAAGATGTGTTTCCCACAACGTCGGTGTCGGTAAGCAAGCCTCTCTGATGGCGTGCTGATACCTCGGCCAAAAAAAAAAAGAAACTACCAAAAACCCTACACTGCCCTACAAGCCCCGCCTTCGAATCATCACCCCATTCCCGGCAGATCCCGGCAGTTGCTCCTTCCTCACCTCTTCCCCACCAGGGCACGAAGACTGGACTCATGAGACGCGCGGGACCGATGTGACACTGCAGGTCTTTCAAAGTGAGAACACTTCCACGGGCACAGTTATCGCAGATTTACCAAATCCAAGAAGCACAAAGCATGCCCTGCCTGATAGAAGCCTACTGTCTACTGAGTTGGCCTCTCGCTGACCCTCCAAGCCCCAAGCAGCTGGCACTGCTGATGCTGCGGGCAGTCATTGGACTGTCGTAGGTGGTGCTGCCCTGGGCGCTTGACCACTACGTCCATGGGCAACGAACGCCACAATTGGACCCACAAACTACCCTTTGGCGGAACACAGTTGGTACCTAAGTGGAGGAAAGTGATGGAAATAAACGACAAAGAGCCATGTTTACCAAGCATCTATATCTCTATATAATATAATATAGCATAATTGTGAATTTGATCCAGAAGAAACCTTCTCATGAATCGGCAGTTCGAATCGGCACCAAGCATTCGAAGCAGTTCGTACAACGCCAACAAACGTTGGCTCAAGGCACGAGGCAGTGGACATAGCAGGACCAAGGAAAAGGGGCGCGGACGCTTGGAAGGGGACTTCCTTTTAGGTTGTGGTAGGAGTTTGGTAGGTAGAGGGCTACCAGTGTGGTTCCATCCGGAATCACATTGGTAGCGGAGCCGAAAGTGGCTTCTGTAGGACAGAGAAAGCCATGGAAGGTTCCGGGTCATCCACCGATGACAAAGGGTCTGGCATTTGGAGTTTGCTGCCATCGTTCGATCCTAGCACGGACAATGCTCGAGAGTATCTGGCGAAAGTCAAGTTTCTGGATGGCATTTGTCCAAAGAAGGACAGACCGATGCTAGCTCCTCGCCTTGCAATGTTATGCAAGGGCACAGCATGGCATCAAGTGAGGGCCTTAGCTCCAGAGCTGTTGACCGATCCCACCAACGGGATAAAGCATTTTCTGGCCGCCTTGGAGAGCTGGGAAGAGAGTTCAGAGCTTCGTTCATTTGAACTGTTCGAACGTGCAATTTACAAGACGGTTCAGAAATCAGATGAGACAACGCAGAGCTATGTCAACCGGTTGATGGTGGCATTCGATGAGGTGGGACCAGACACGACACTGAAGTCAGTTATTGCTTTCATCCTCCTCAAACAGAGCAATCTCAATCATGAGGATAAGAAGAAAGTTTTGACGATGACCAACGGCGTCCTTGAGAAGACCGCCATTGAAGGAGCGATGCGGTCACTGTCAACAAATGTTTTGACGGGCTCAAGTTCAGTTGAAAAGAAGAAGATTTATCCCACCAACTTCATCGAGGCTGATGACATGGAGAATCCCAAGGAAATCAGCCAGACATTCGCTGCAAATCATGAAGAAGATGAAGAGTTGAGTTTTGAGGCAATTGAAAGCCTCGCCGCTTGGGGAGATGCAGATGCCCTGACCATCCAGGCCTTTGAGAAAGATCTTGAAGAGTTGATGCAAGAGGTCCCAGACCTTCACACTGCGCTGGTTTCCTACCATGAGGCTCGCGCCAAGATCAATGAACGCAAGCGCAATCGTGGATTCTGGCCAGCTGGACAAAAAGGATCTGGAAAGGGATTCAAGTCTGGATTTCAATATGGTGGATCCAAAGGATTCAGAAAGGGCAGTTCAAAAGGAAAAGATGAGCTTCTTCAGAGGATTTCCCGGACACATTGCAAGAAATGTGGGGAATTGGGTCACTGGAAGGCCGAGTGTCCGAACAAGGCCAAGGACTCCGTGAACATTGTGACCCAGGAAGCCCTTGATGAGACCGACCAGGTGATGTTTGAGACCCTGAGCTTATCCGAAGTGATGGAGGTTCGTTTGAACAAAAGACATGAGACAAACATGCATGAAAGCATTCACTCCTCACTCGAGCATGCATTCGTAGGAATTCATTTGCAGAATAATTCACTCGATCCCACCGGAAAGATTAAGATAAAAATGCAGCAGTTTTTTGCAAACCGGTCAACGTCTGTGCATTTTGCCAGGCAGAGCAAGCAGAGCATTCCGAGCCCGATCCTGAAGGATCCAATCCATACGTTCCCAAGCTGTACCAGTAATGTGGGAAAGGAAGCCTTCGACACTCAAGGCTATGCCATCGTTGACACCGGCGCAAGCAGAAGTGTCATAGGATCTGAGAACCTTCCTCAGATGATGCGATTGTTGGATCCTGTCACCCGAGCCCGCTCGAAAGAAAAAGCCAGCCGTATTGGATTCCGCTTCGGAAACAACCAGATCGAATATAGTTTTAAGCAAGTTTGGATCCCAATTAGGAGTGGAAACCAGCAAATTTGGTTGATCATTGAAGTTGTTCCCAAAAGAACTCCATTCCTCCTGTCCATCCAGACGATGCGGAAACTCGGTGCAGTGCTTGATTTACAGAAAGGAACATGTTTCATGCACACATTAGGTAAAGCAGTTTCGCTCAGGCAAGGAAACACAGGTCTTTTGATGATTAGTTTGGCCGATTTGTGTCACAAGCCACCGAAAGCCGAAGTCGTGACATCCCAGATCGATGAGCCGCAAGCCTTCATTGTGTCAAGAGTCGCCGATTCGCCCGAAAGTTCGAACCTGAAGAGCCATGCCCACTCGTCAAGAGGTCATGGAAATGATCCGAGAGACGGCAGATGCAGTGATGCAACTGCTCAGGCTCCTCCTTTCATTGCTCATGAATCAGGTTCAATCACAAGTGGAGGAGACTGCAGATCAGTGGGTACCCAACGAGCATGCCCTGCAGCTACAGAATCTGATGCAGGAAGTCCGAAGCCAGAAGCTCATGTTGCAGGAGATCTCCACCAATTTGAAGTCGACAGGAATCTCATCCCCTCCGTCGCCTCAACGCCTCACGGAGTGGACAGACATCGAAGAGAGGGAGATCCATCGCTGGGAAGACGAAATGATGATGATGAACGAGAAGAAGAAGATGCCAGTCAGCCCCACACGACCTCACTCAGCCCCACAGACATCAAGTCCGACAACAGTCAAGCTGCCAAGTCAGGCCGCTCCAGTTGGAGCAAGTGGAGCCCGCTCCCGTCCAACGGAAGCTCCCACGACGAGTGGACCCATTCTGGCCCGCGGAGGAGCACCTCATGCTGCAGGAGGGGTGACGGACAGCGATTTCAGCGCTCCCCATGGCCGAGATTTGGCATGGACTCAGGATGCAATGACGTCCTGGGGACGCAAAGTGATCAACTGGGGAAAGAAACATCCCGGCAAGATGTACTACGAAGTGTACGAATCGGACGATCAGTACACAAATTGGTGTTTGAGCCGCTTGAACACCTTAGGAATGCCGGTACTGGACTATGCAAAGTACTGTCAAGTCCGGAGGCAGATGGAAGCACAACTCCAGCATGGTCTGTGATTCATCTTGCAGCAAAGGTGACCAATTCCCAAGAAGTTAAATGGCTAAGAGCACTTCGAGATGAAATGAAATCCAATGATCAAGCACCCAAATTAGATTTACTTGAAGTGTATGCCCAACCCAACAGCCGATTAGCCGAAGAAGTCATTCGACAAGGGGGGAAAGCCATAAGGTTCACTTTTGAGCATGGAGACTTATCGACCTTTCACGGACAAATGGAGCTGCTTCGAATGCTGATTCGTTACCGGCCTAAGCATGTCTGGGTTGCTCCTGAGTGTGCACCATGGTGCTCATGGAACAGGTTTAATGCCAAAAGAAGTGTTCAGGCTTTTGATCATGTTCAAAACATGCAAGAGCAATCCAAGGAGCATTTGCAGTTGTGCGCATTCATTTGCAAGATCCAGATAGAAGGCGGCAGACATTTCTCCATGGAAAACCCAGGCTCATCAGGAGCATGGCAACAGAAAGAAACCCAAGACATCATCCGTTTGACCAAGACTATTCTGTTTGATCAATGCCAGTTTGGATTGAAACATCCACAGAGCCATGAACCCATGAAGAAAGCAACTAGAGTGCAAACCACATCACGAGAGATGATGAAGCACTTAGATGGTAGAACCTGTACCAGAGAACATGTTCATTGTCCCATTGCCGGAAACTGTCAACACCAAGGCAGAACATTTGCCCTGTCAAGATTTGCAGCATTCTATCCACACATGCTTGCACGAAAGGCTGCAAAAGGTATATTGTTCGAAAACCAAAATCCAGGTTGTCCAATTGTTGAAGCCTCAACCGCCGTTGAGCAATTGTATCCTGTTCGTGAAGCAGAAGAGCCTCCAGAAGGTGAGCCTGGATCAAAACGAAAGCGGGGTCAAGGCCCATTGGAAGACCTTGGGACCCGTAAGAGAGAACTTGAGCCATATGAACCATTTACAATTTTGACTGGACAGCCATGGACTGAAGTGATGGATAAGCTTCAGACCTTTTTGCCAAAGTCCGGTGCACAGAACATTGACTTGGAGACTTGGCCAGGCAGTTTCATCAGACAACATTGTCAGATCCAGGATGTCCAAGAGATCAAAGCAATTAAGGGAGTAGAGAAATTCATGACTGGAAATCTTGCTCATTCGCACCGACAAACCATCAGTCTTTGTCGCAAGAGCCAAAGAATTTTGGATTTAGGGGTAGAAGCATGGACAAAATTGACCCAAGCCCAACAGAGAAGAAAAGCCATCCCGAGTCACATCATGATAACCATCTTTGGAAGAAACCCAGAAGAACTTGATGAAAGTCAAGCCAAGTCTGAGTCGTCCAAAGCCAGAAAGCCGTTGAGCCAGGAGGAGACAACCTCCTCAACAATTCGTAAGGTAGAAGCCGAAGAGAAGTCAGCTGGAGAGCCTAAGCCTGAAACCCCAGAAGAAGGCACATTAGCCCCAATTCCTTCATGGATGCCAGTGACGACCATCAACTCAGGACCAAAATTTCTAGAGCTCAATAGCAAACAGCAGACTATGATTCGCAAGATGCACAATAATCTAGGCCACCCGGTTGCGGAACGACTTAGTGAACACTTGAAACGATTGGGATTCACTGAAAGGATGGTTGAAGGAGCCCGGGATTATCACTGTCAGTCATGTGCGGAAAGAGTTCCACCCAAATTGACTACTCCGGGGAAATTGAAGGAACCACGCGAATTCAATGAAAGAGTAGCCTTGGATGGATTTGAATGGAAAAGCCAAAAGGGGAACAAGTACTATGTTCTACACTTCTTTGATGAAGCAACACATTTCCATTTGGGTAGACGCACACAGAGAAATAGTGAAAGCACAATTCGAACGATGAATGAGACATGGACACATTGGGCAGGTTCCCCCCAAGAAGTTCAGCACGATGAAGCAGGTGAATTTGTCAGCCAACCTTGGAAAGATTTCTTGCAACAAGAAGGTATTCGATCCATAGTGAGTGCAGCACCCTGGCAAAGAGGTCGTATAGAAAGGCATGGGGGAGTCATTAAGGAAATGCTTAGTCGGATTGACCAGGAGAAACCCATTCAAAATGAGAAACAATTTGACCTTGCATTGCACCAATGCTTCCAAGCCAAAAACAGTTTGACCATCGTCCAAGGGTTTAGTCCTGAACAAGCAGTGCTAGGAAAATCACGCCGATTGCCTGCATCAATTTGTGGAGATGAGGACTTCACGGCACATTCAATAGATCAACCACAAGATACTCGATCAGAAGAATTTTTGCAGAAGATGCAAATTAGAACCTTAGCCAGGAAAGCTCTCCTAGATGCTGATAACAGCCAAGCAATTCGTCGAGCAGTAAATCACCAATCCAGAGGACAAGAACATCCATGGAGATGCGGAGAGTTATGCATGGTTTGGGACAAGAGAAAATCACCCAACATGCTAGAGAAAGGAAGATGGACTGGCCCATGCCAAGTAATCATGGAAGAAAGCCGAACCATTCTTTGGGTAACTCACATGAATAGATTGTTAAGGGTTGCCAGAGAAAACATCCGACCGGTTTCAATCAGGGAATTCAATAGAGTGGCCACATTTCATCAGAACTGTGATGAAACCAAATTAAAAGCCATGGCCGATCAGCTAAGGAACCAGTTGAAGGAAAGAAGTGGAATGTTCCAATTTTCGGACCTGACCGAACTCGAAATGAATCCAGAAACAACTGAAGGAACAAATGGACCACAGCCAGAAGAAGAACCTCATCGAAGAGATTCAGAAGCAGACATTCCGTGTATAGAGCTAGAGAATCCAAACACAGAACAAGAGCCCACCAGTGCTCCGGTGTCCCAAACACCGTCCATTGCAGAACGTGCAGCCGAGTCCGAAGAGCCTCGAGGGAGTGATCTTAGGGGTACAGAAGATCCTAATGGGGAAGAAGGGAATGTTGAATCAAGAGGGGATTCAGCCAACTTCGGGGAAGTAGTATACAATGTGAGCATTGTAGAAGCTAATGATCCAAACGCAGTCACAGTGGAAGACAACGGAACATTGTGGCCGTGCAGTGAAGACATCACTATGCAGGATGCCAATTTTTGTATGTTTGAGTTCGATGTCCCATCCAAATTCCTGTCCGCATTTTGTGCCCAGCCATGTCTACATGTTGACAAGATAGCTCAAGCTGCTAAGAAGAATCACGTTGAGGTAGTATACAAACATTTAAGCCAAGCAGAGAAAATCGAATTCGATCAAGCCAAAGCCAAAGAGTTAGGTTGCTGGGTTGAAACATCATCCATTGAGCCGCTTTTGAGGGATAAGATCCACCCATCCAGGATAATGTCCTCAAGATGGATTCTGACTTGGAAGATAGACCCAACTTCACCACAGGGTAGAAAAGCGAAAGCCCGGTTAGTTGTAAGAGGTTTTGAGGACCCCGATGCAGCTTCTGTGAGCACTGAATCGCCAACTCTTTCACGGGATGGTCGGATGATCATACTTCAAGAAATAAGCAGTAGAGGGTGGGAATTGCAGAGTTTCGACATCAAAACTGCATTCTTGAGGGGGCGTTCAGATGAAAGGGTTCTTGCGATGCAACCGGTACCAGAATTACAAAAGTTGCTCCACTTGAAACCAAACGAGGTTTGTCTTCTTAAGGGAAACGCCTACGGTAGAGTGGATGCTCCCCTTTTGTTCTACAAAGAGCTGAGAAAGAATCTAGAGGAAGCAGGCTTTCAGGCACATCCACTTGACGCATGCATGTTTTTGCTTCGCAACCCCAAGAATCCCAGCAAATTAGAAGGAATTTTGGGAACACATGTTGATGACGGAATTGGAGGTGGAACCGAAATGTTTGAGAGAGCACTTGAACAAATCCAGAAGAAGCTTCCATTTGGACAAAGGGAATACAAGAAGTTTCGATTCACAGGGCTTGATATTGAACAACATCCAGACAACTCAATACAAGTCAGCCAAGCCGAATACATCCACAAAATAGATCCAATAGATGTGCCAAAACCCAGACGAAAAGATGAACATGCTGAGATAACATCATCCGAATTACACCATCTACGTGGTCTATGTGGAAGCTTGCAATATGCTGCAGTGCATTCGAGGCCAGATCTTGCAGCCAAAGTGGCATTTCTTCAGAAACGAATCCCCAAAGCAAAGGTGAGTGATTTGATGGAAGGAAATAAGATATTAAGAGAAGCAAAGAACACAGCAGACACATCCATTCGTATACAACCAATCCCAATAGATCAAGTCACTTTTGCAAGTTTTGGTGATGCCAGTTTCGCATCAGAAAGCCAATTGAAGGCTCAGCAAGGCTTATTCGTCATGGCCACGACCAAACGACTTGGACAAAATGAAACATCAGAGTTCTCTCCACTGGCGTGGGGTTCAAAACAGATTGCAAGGGTTGTTAGGTCAACTTTGAGCGCAGAAGCTTATGCAATGTCAAGTTCACTTGACAAGCTCACCTGGATTAGATGCTTATGGGGTTTTGTCAATGATCCTCAGTTCCAATGGCAGAAGCCAGAGAAAGCATTACAATCCCAACCAAAAGCTCTCCTTGTGACAGACTGCAAGTCATTGTTTGACTTAGTAACAAAATTAGCAATCCCCAACTGCCAGGAATGGAGGACCACAATAGAGGTCATGCAGATCAAAGAGCAAGCTGAGGGGAATGCTCAGTGTCGTTGGATTTCGACAGCAATAATGCTAGCCGATTGTCTTACTAAACCGATGGATTCAAGTTTCTTGAGAAAGGTCCTGGCCATCGGACGGTTCCGAATTTTTGATGAGACCCGAACTTTGAAGATAAATGCAAACAGGAAATTCGGCGAAAGATGGGCAGAAGGATTCAGGAATGAAGCAACCGATTCATATCGAAAAGAAAAACGGAACGTGTGTGAATTTGATCCAGAAGAAACCTTCTCATGAATCGGCAGTTCGAATCGGCACCAAGCATTCGAAGCAGTTCGTACAACGCCAACAAACGTTGGCTCAAGGCACGAGGCAGTGGACATAGCAGGACCAAGGAAAAGGGGCGCGGACGCTTGGAAGGGGACTTCCTTTTAGGTTGTGGTAGGAGTTTGGTAGGTAGAGGGCTACCAGTGTGGTTCCATCCGGAATCACACATAATATAATATATATATATATAACATTCTACACTCACCGCCTCGGGTGGGCCAAGGTGATCGTGTTTTGTCTTCAAACCACGATCATGTGCGGCAGGCGGAACTCCTATCGCCCAGGCCTCGACAAGCCTGCCAAGGCCGTCGCAGTTGTCGGAGAACTGCCTGGGAGGCGACCACGGTTGAGTCTTCCCGGCAACTCTCAGGAGTCTGAGCCTTCGGGAAACTATGCGGTCCACGCATATTCTGCAAAAGAAACTGGGAGTGTCCAGCTTGGAGGGTACATTAAGATGGATCGGACGTGATCAGATTGCTTCTCTCCCAATGCAGTGGTTCCTGCCACCGCTTCTCCACACACCTCGCAATCGGAGAAGGAAGCGGTTGGACCTGCCCAGTCAGTCTCATCTCTGCAGATTCTGGGGGTCAACAATCAGGGTAACTGGATGTCCTTCCTAAAACAAACCCACTATAAGCTGATCGCAGCTGTTCGGTCATGGCTAGGCCTAGGCTCACATCTGGTGTCCAGGCAGACTAACTCTCATTCAACCCGGCATGCCTCCTCCCAGACGCTTTGAAGCAAAGAAATAAATCCTTTCATTATGTGTTTCACCAAATGCTCTTAAGCAGCTCGTTATTTTTTGTCAAAAGAATCACGTGTGAAAGACCGTGTATGCGACCAGATCACCAATCAGCAAAGGGAGAGTTGGAACGCAAGCTATTGCATTTGTATGTATTTGTGTAACGGCACTAGTCTTATTGTCGTTGCTGAGTTTGGTATCTCCAGTGCTGCAACCACCAGCGCACACACTGCCGAGCCTGACTCGCAGTGACCCTGCGCACGTCCGATACGTGAGGCCATGAAAGTTCACGTGATATGTCTCTGTCTCAATGGCTCGTGGGGAAAAGCCTGTTTCCATGCGTGAAGAAGCACCACAAATGAATCCTGTACGCTTTTAGCTCGCTTGAACCTGGACTCCATAGGGCATCTCGGGCATCTCTAAGGGCCCAACACCCGTGGACGAGCGGCAGGTGACCTGCGATCATCCAGCAGGCCAGCTAAAAAGGAATATTCTGGGGCTGCATCCACTTTCTAGAGATGGATAAAGGGATTTAAATCCGCCGACCCCGCCGGTTGAAGGGGGCGCGCGCCAGAGGAGGCAACCGAGGGCATGCTGGAAGCGTTGCGGAAGGTCTGACAGCTTGAAGCGTTGCTGAAGGTCCGACAGCGGAAGACAGGGCGTGCGCGACGCTGCTTCACAGACTTGCTTTACGGGGTCCGAAAGCGACGTTAGAGATTCTGGGGGCGTACGCGGAGGACCTCTTTCGGGCGATTTTTGGTTTCGAATTAGATTGTGGAAAGCTGTGGCGGAGGAAATCACTCGGAACA